GTGTTTTGGATCGAAATGATAACGCTCCGCAGATCCTGTACCCCTCACAATCCACAGAGGGCTCACCTTTCTTTGAGATGGTGCCTCGGTCAGCTGAGTCGGGTTATCTGGTGACGAAGGTGGTGGCCGTGGACTCTGATTCTGGACACAATGCCTGGCTCTCCTTCCATCTCCTGCAGGCCACAGAGCCCTCACTCTTCAGCATTGGCTCCCACACAGGAGAGGTGCAAACAGTCCGAGCATTACTTGAGAGAGATGCAGTGAAGCAGAGGCTGGTCATCCTGGTGAAGGACAATGGGCATCCTCCTCTCTCAGCCACCACAACTTTGAGCCTGGTGTTTGCTGAGAACTTCCAGGAGGCTCTTCCAGAAATAAACTCCCAACCAAGTGACTCAGAGTATCAGTCTGATCTACAGTTTTATTTGGTATTGGCCTTGACCATGGTGTCCTTTCTGTTCCTGGTGACGGTGATTCTGACCATTCTGATGAAGCTTCGAAGGTCAAGGAACCCCACTTTCCTTCAGTGCTTTATTCCTGACCCCCATTCAAAGGCTGGTGCCATGTTCCCACCCAATTATGAGGACGGAACTTTGCCTTATTCCTACCAGGTCTGTCTGTCCTCTGAATCCAGGAGGAATGAGCTGACATTCCTGCAGCCCACTGTCCAAATAGCAGAGAACATCCTTTGCAATGGCAGGTCTGACATTTCTTTGATGGTCAGTGGAGGTAATTTAAGTTCTGAAAAGGAGAATACTGACATGGTGAGTTCTTTCTTCTGCACTATATAGTAAGCTGACTTATCCAATAAGTTTATTTTATTGAATTTACTTGCTGTTATTGTGAGTTTAAGAATATTATATTTCAAGCAAGCAAGGATCATTCTGTAATAACAGATGCTGTCAAATCACAGTATGACTTAAGGAGTGTCATACAGCAGTGGGGTTTTTTTGTAGAGTTTTTCTATTCACCTCTGTTGGTTTCCTCCACTGTGTTTGAGTAGCCTTTTATGGCTCATATATTTAGGAGAAGTGAAGGTGAGTGATTACCAGATAACAGAATGAATATTCTTTATTTAGAAAATATAGTCCTTACATATCCTTTTTTAAATTTAATATATGCTGTAAGTGGTATATATGTTTATATGAATTCACTTCCAATAGAAATAATTCAAATTTTAATTATACGATATACGATATACATTGTCCCATACAGAACAATGAAATTGAAAAACTACATAAAACATTCAAAAACCCCTAAAAACTCTGAAACCCCATTTTAAAATACAATACACTATACTATACTATACTATACTATACTATAAAATACACTATAATATAAAATACACTATACTATAGAGACCCCTTATGCTGCGTTTAGAACCAGAATTGCATTTGCGTAGAAACTGTTTCTCAGGTGGCTAGTCCTGGCCTTTATAACCCTATACCTTCTTCCAGAAGGCAGAAGCTGAAAGAGATCATTTCTGGGGTGTGTACTATCCTGCGCTATCTCTGCCGCTTTCTTATGGCACCTGGCAGCATAGATTTGATTTAAGGTGGGAAGAGTGCACCCAATTATTCTCTCTGCAGTCTTTACAACCCTGGATAGCATTGTTTTTCCCCTGGCCATGCAGCTCCCAAACCACATGCACAGACCATAAATTAATACGCTCTCCACAGTGCAATGGTAAAAAGCCATCAACAGCTCCTTTGAGAGATTGTTTTTCTGGAGGATTCTCAGAAAATGTAACCTCTGCTGTGCTCTCTTTATCAGGTCTTTGCTGTTTTCTCCCCAGGTTAGGTCGTCTCTCAACTCCATTCCCAGAAATCGAAACACTGAGACCTGTTCCACACACTTCCCCTCAATAATAAGTGGCTGAATATTCAGTTTACATTTCCTAAAGTCCACAATGATCTCTTATCATTGTGGGCCCTGCCACACAGAACATGTAGGAATGATTATTTTGTCCTACACTGTGCACAGAGCTTCTCTGGCAGGTCTCCAACTGCACAAGGGGACCTCCCTCTCTGTCAACCCAGAAGGTTTCACAGAATCCTAAAGCTCCTCCCTCCTAGGGGAGCATAAGATTGTCCTCTTAGTTACTGTTGGCCACATGCTGTGATTTAATGTACTATGATGCTGTTGGTATTGTGAGCAGTTTTAAAGTCAGGCAGCAGTCAATCTCTCAATAACTTCTAACTTGAGGAATGGGGGGGGGAATGTGGTGAAACTTTTATTAAAATGAAGAAATTTCAAGCTGACTGTATTTATAGAAAATATAAATTATTTACTATTTTTATATAGTGCTATCTATGTTTTTGTAAATTGCTTAGAAATTTTCACAATTAAGTGGTATATAAATCCTGCAAAATAAGAATAAATGTAAAACATGTGTATGACACTCTACAAACAAAAGGTATGACAGGTGACAAAATCAAATAAAAGGATTGCATTCTATGTAAGCAATATGCTTGTAAAGTTGAAAACGAAACCTAATTTGAAATAAGAAAAGTGGGCAATTAACTTTCATTGTTCCATCATACTGGAGAACAGAATTTAACACACTTCTGAAGTAGATACATTTGGATGCTTGTGAATTGATTCTGCAGTGTAAGACGGAATGAATCTAACCAGTGCTATTCACGCAAGTCTTGACAGTTTTTGATGTCTTCCTTTAGATATGTATAACTTAATTTTTTGTTCTGTGGATTGTGAATGGTACTAATGCACTCTACTCCATATACTTTAATTTATTTGGTAAGAGCATGGGTAGTTCTGCCCGTCCAAAGGAGGTTTGGATCTGTGTTTCTAATGCACCCCGTCACTCACATGACAAGCTTTCTTTTTTAAAAAAACCTGATAGGAGTATCATAAACAGTTTATGATATGGCATGAGCAAGAGGTGGGGTAGGCATGGACTGGAATGACCGTTCAGCTAAAAAAAGGTCAAACTTTCCATTGGATGTGCCTTTGGAAACACTAATAGTTGCTCTTAGAATTGTAGCCAAGATGCATGCCCACTGATGATAATTTTTTATATATAAAAGCAGTCTTTTTTTTCTGGGGATACTCAAGTGTATGCAGTACCGGCACCTTTTTATTATCAAATGTTAAAAGTGTGGCACTTATGTAACAACTTCATGGTGAGTACCAACTCCTTTCCCCCCATAATAACTTATAATAACTAGATGATTATATGTTTTTAACTTCATGCTTGAGATCCGCAGTTACACCATTTGGAGTTTGGGCCTCCCAACAGCCACTCTAAGGAGGTCAAACTTAAAGCTCAAGAAAATGCTCAGCCAACTTCAGTTTGTTTTTGGAATGCAGCTTTGAGAAGCACCCTAAATAAATGAAAGATTATTCACACTTACCTAGGAGCAAGTCCCATTGAATTCCCTCTCTTGCTGAAGGGAAGGGCATCTTTGCCCACATGTAAATGAAGATGAGACGGTTTAGGCCCAAGCTCTGTCTTGTGGGGAAGCCTTCTTTGGATCTGGCTGAAGTAGGATGTTGGACCGACTTCTTCCCTGCCCCGTCAGAGAGTCCATCCACCTAGGATTAGCTGGTAAGTCTTTTGGGTGGCCAGGAGGCACGTCCCTATTTTCATTGGAGAAATGTTGGAAGGTACATAATTGTTTGATCAGATTGATTGTAGTGGAAGGATTTTGTTACCTGCATGGCACTGCCTTAACTGTGGGGCAGATGCTTCAATTAGGTGCCGTTCGGTAGTGTGGTATACTGAACTGATTATAACGAGTTGTAATGTGCAACTACAGGATAAGGGAGGGAAGAAACTGAAGTGTTCCATGAAAGAAAGCTTACTGGAGACACTCACTAAGTAAATAGAGGAACCGTGGGCCCTGAGGGGAGGAGGTCTTGATCCCAGATGTTTAATGGCCTGTGACAACCAATGGCAAGAGCAGCCTCTTCTGGTCCACAAATGGGCAGCAAATGAATCAGCCTTAGGACCAAACCAAAGATCCAAGTCGGAGTGGAGCTGCCTAAAGGAGGCAGACAAGGCAAGATGGACTCTCCTTTCAGTTTAGAAGAAGGTACCTACACTGCTGGGGTGAATGTGACATACAGTTGTGGCCTTTCTTTAAATCGACATTCGGTTCTTTACTTTTTTGGTTGAAGAGAGACAACTTAAATTGGTTAATGAATATCAGCTGTCAGTAATAAGACACAACAATTCCACTTCTCTGAAAATAATGAAGACACTTCAGTGTGAAGACTTACAGTAGGAACCTGGGGACCAAATGGGAATGCAGAGGTGTCCGAGAAACAGATGCAAGTTGGAGAGAGAAAGGAGTCTTGAGGAATCCTATATGAGCCTACCTGAGCACTGACATCTGCTTCGAAGGCTCTCCTCTGGGTGCCCTCATCTTCAGAGAATAGGTGAGCTGTGACAGAAGAGAAAGGACTTTAGGAGAGGCACAAATCTTTGAAGACTTGCCTATATATAAATAGTGCCAAATTAAGACTTAATTTTATGAAGCTTTTTCTTTAATTGCTCACCACTTTTAATTACTGCTACGCCCCCACCCCACAAAAAGAAAAATTGCTCTTGTTAAGGTAGAGGGAATGGAAATTTCACCAAAGTGTTTAGGGGAGTTTTCATTTACCTTACTTAACTTTATGAGGTCATTGAAGGTTCTCGCCCCCTTTTTTCTTGCTTTTTCACATTTTTTTTAAAAATTGCACACCGCTAGCAGTAGTGCAAGGCTCTCTTTGCCACATCCCATCAGCTGCACTTCCTGGAATGCCTTGGGGAGGTGATGCTACATCATTTCATGTATCACCTATGGCACTGCAGGAAGTGTAGCCGTAGGGAATTGTCACAACGCACTCTCCAGTTTCTTGCAGGAGGCACTTGGAATGGTTTGGGAATGGCACAACGCTATGTTGCATTCCATCACTCCCAAAAATTGCAGCCGCTGAGAAGCTGTAGAGAGAGAGCCTCACACTGTGACCAGTGTGGGGTTGTTGTTTTAAGTTCAAAAACAAGAATAAAAAGAGAAAACCTTAGGCCTCCTAAGTGTAAGATAATCAGCAATCCCCTTCCCCCATCAATGCAAATGCAAATAATTTTCTCCCATTTTTAATATAGGAACAGACACTAATTTGTTAGTCCGCTATAATGTTGGCAACATCTGAGGACACCTGAACCTTAGAAAACAACATCACCATTCATATATATTACTGTACACCTTGCACACAGAACTGTTTGTCCTGGAAAATAATGGTAATTGAATAGCAGCAATATAGTCCTGTAATGTTGAATCAAATAACCTCTGCATAAGCAGCAATAAAAAAGTAATGATGAAAAGCAGAATGATTACAACTCTAGTGTGAAGCACCTGCATTTTCTCACTGTGACTCTGGGTGTCGCTGTTCACCAATCCAGCAGGCTAACACATGGAGCGATCCAGCCTGCCCATTCTTGCAGATAGGCTGGGATGGAACTGACAGTTCAGGGAACAAAATGATGCAGGTTTTGCTTTAAAAATAAAAAAGGACAGATAAAAGCTATTTGAACAAGAACTAGTTGTATTCTTTTTCGTGGAAGGAAATGGAAGAAAAACAGAGGCCTTGGAGTTACAAAGAAATAATCATACAATGCCTTGTAATGGTGAATATTTGGAAGGCAGTTTCTGGACAGATCCACTACTCCATTCCAGAGGAGATGCAGAAAAGCTCATTTGTGGGGAATATTGCAAAGGACCTGGGGATAGATCGGAAGCAGCTTTTGGACCATGGACTCCGCATTGTAACTAGTACAGGTATCATTCAGTATTTTGAACTGAATTTCAATACTGGCTATTTACAAACTTCTGAGAGAATAGACAGAGAGAAAATCTGTGGAAGGGTAGAAATGTGCATCTTAAAATTTCAAGTTATTGCTGAGAGCAACTTAAAGCTTTATGTTGTTGAAGTAGAAATCATGGATATAAATGATAATGCTCCCTTCTTTCTGCTGAAGGGATGGGAACTTAAAATCAGTGAATTGTCTACACCTGGATCCCACTTCCCTCTTCCTGAAGCTCAGGATCCAGATCTGGGGATAAATTCTATACAGAGCTACCAACTCACAGGCAGTAGCCATTTTTCTCTGGATGTTCAAATGGGAGAAAATGGGGCAAGACATGCAGAGCTGGTATTGGAAAAGCCTCTGGACAGGGAAGAGCAACCAGATTATGATCTACTCCTCACAGCTACTGATGGAGGTGATCCCATCAGGTCTGGCACAGTACAAATCCACATCATTGTTCTTGATGCAAATGACAATGCACCCGTTTTCAGTCAACCTCTTTATGAAGTGAGTGTCAATGAGAATATTCCCAAGGGGTCCACACTTTCTACGGTGCAAGCCACTGATATGGATGAAGGAATCCATGGAGACATAAAATACTCTATCCAAAAAATCACGCAAAGGGACTCCCAAATGTTTCTGTTAAATTCCACAACTGGCGAAATCATCCTTACTGGGAATCTTGATTTTGAGGAATCATCCTTATATGAATTTGAGGTGCAAGCCATGGATGGGGGCGGTCTAAGTGACAGATCAAAGGTTGTGATCCTTGTTACAGACTTGAATGACAACGCACCTGAAATAACAATAACTTTTGAACTCAACTCTGTCCCTGAGAATTCACGAACTGGAACTGTCATTGCCATTTTAAATGTCCAAGACAAAGATTCAGGAGTCAATGGGGAGGTTATGTGTTCAATTCCCAATAGCCTTCCTTTCCAACTAAAGAAAACAATGGACAATTTTTACACTTTAGTGACAGACAGAGCCCTTGATAGGGAACAAGTGGCGACCTATGATATCCCTGTTACAGCAACTGATAATGGGACTCCAACATTATCAACCTCTGCAATTATTTCACTGCAGCTGTTAGACACAAATGACAATCCCCCATTCTTTTTACAGTCAGCCTACACCTCTTATCTTCTAGAAAATAATCCAAGAGGTGCCTCAGTCTTTTCTCTGAAAGCAAGTGATCCAGACTGGGAAGAGAATTCCAGAATAGTATATTCCATCACTGAAAGTCAGATCAGCACATCCCCTCTCTCCTCATACCTCTCCATTAATTCTGAAACTGGGGTTGTTTATGCCTTGAGCTCCTTTGATTATGAAGAGTTTCAGGAAATTAAGTTCCTAGTCAAGGCTCAGGATGGAGGTTCTCCATCACTCAGCTCCAACGTCTCAGTGACTCTCTTCATCCTGGACCAGAATGACAATGCTCCCCAAATCCTGTACCCCTCCCCTCCCACTGATGGCTCCACAGGGATAGAGCTGGCCCCTCGCTCCTCAGAGCCAGGCTACCTGGTCACTAAGGTGGTGGCCGTGGATGTGGACTCTGGCCAGAATGCCTGGCTCTCCTACCAGCTGATCAAGGCCACAGAGCCAGGGCTCTTCACTCTGGGGCTCCACACGGGAGAGATCAGGACAGCCCGCTTCTTTCTGGAGAAAGATGCCCTCAAGCAAAGCCTGGTGGTTTTAGTCAAGGACAATGGGCAGCCTCCAATGTCGGCATCAGTCACTGTCACTGTGGTCTTGGCTGACAACATCCCTGACATGCTGACTGATCTGAGCAGCGTCCCAGTATCTGAAGACCCACAGTCAGATCTCACCTTCTACTTGGTGACTGCAGTGGCTTTTGTCTCTTGCTTGTTCCTTGCCTTCCTCCTTGTGTTACTGGCACTCAAACTTCGCAGATGGAAAAATTCTCAGTTGTGTGACAATGGAAGTGTGCATTTTGATGGTGCTCCCATCTCCCAGTTTGTGGGAATTGATGGAGTCCGGGCATTTCTTCAGTCTTATTGCCATGAGGTTTCACTGACTTCAGGCTCTCGGAAAAGTCAGATCCTTTTTCCAATCGGAAGTTGTACCAATACTCTGACACCACAACAGGCTCCTGATAAGCCAGGCCCTTTGTTAATTATAGGTGATTCTAACACAGTTACGGAGGAGGCAGCAATTCATCAGGTGAGCACATAAATGTCAAGACTTTGGTTTCCTTTATTCAATATTCAGTATTCTATTATTGCATGATAAAACCTAGAGAAAGCCTGCTTATGCTTTTTATATCAAATATTTAAAGAGATATGGTATTTTGGGGTCGTTACATAATGAAGCAATTACTTTATTGTTTCAAATAAATACTGTATTTCAATTTAGGACATATTTTAAATAAATCATCTTAGGATAAGTCTAGTGGCAGCCACCTCTCTCTCTTTTAGCCACTGTGACTATGTTGCTGGCTGATACCATCCCTGCCACCCTTTCAGATCTGAGCAGCACCTTAGCTCCTGCTGATCCTTATCCTGCCTGGGTATTGGAGTGGGTTTTGTTTCATGTTCTTAACTTTCCTCTTGTGTTATTTGCACTCAAGGTTCACAGCTGCAGAAATTCCTAATAACTGTTACTGTCTCACAGTTCTTAGAGATCTATCTAATCCATGCCTTTCTTCAGTCTTACTGCCTGATTTGCTTGTACAAAGCTTACGTGGAGGTCATACAATGTCTAGGGTTGGGCGTTACCAGCTTTTCAACATAGCCATGTATCACCAACCAGACATTGCGATATAGTGATACATTGCAATGTTGAAAAGCGGAGCGAGGACCGAGCTGCATTAGGCCTAGCCGTGTGAGGCACTGGGGTGAAACTGCCTCAGTATATATGATGAAGGTGCCATATATACCACCAGGTGAAGATACCATTGTGCTCTGGCTCTCAAACCCGTCCTGGGCGATGTATCAATGCATTGGCCAGTCCTAACAACATCTCTTTATTGAGCATCTGATTTTGCATTTAGGTTTGTTACCTTTTGTGATGGCTCTGTTAGTACTAGTTACAGTTATGTAGCCGTGTTGGTCTACTGTGGTCGAAACAAAATAAAAAAATCCTTCCAGTAGCTCCTTAGAGACCAACTAAGTTTGTTATTAGTATGAGCTTTTGTGTGCATGCACACACTTCTTCAGATATTCTGCTAGTACTGTTTTAGTTCTATGGGTGTTATCTGACTAATTTTTCTGGGAGTGAAGGAGTGGTGACATGTGATTAATTAAGGGCCCCCTTTCCTTCCAGATTTTGAACACTGACTGAGGAGGTGGTTTTTAATTTTTTTAAGACTATCAAAACTAGATGGAATAGGGAAGATGCATACCAGCCTCCCATGCAACAGTCCTGCCTTGTGTCATTCCATTCCAGTCCTAAACTCTACTGTAAAACTCTGGCTTTGTCTTCTAAATCTGAGTTGAGGGAGGGGAGGGGCCCACCTAATTGCCGTCTGGCCCAGAGCTTTTGCTTTCTTAATGGCCCATTGCCGTTCCTTTGTTCTCTGTTAATGGCTCATCTCCCAGGTGATTACTTCATAAGGAAGCTCACCTGTCTTACATTTTAACCTGTGTTGGGTCCAGGAATTTAGGGGAGTCTGGCACCCACAAACTCATAACAATATATTTGGCGGGGGGACTGCTGCTTTTCGTTGGCGCCTATGTCATCTAATTGTGCATTAACAGTAGCAGTAGTAACAATCCTGGGGCATGTTCAGCTTCTCTGCTGTTATCTTCAAATCTTACAACTTTTCACAAAATAGTTGCTTTGTCTTTCTTTACCTCTGTGCTCTATAAGCCCTATGAAGCATTATTATCTGATCATGCAATGCATTTCGGCATTCAGTGCCGTGAGACCAAAAGATCTTCAGAATAAAATCAGAGTTCTGTAATTAGAGAGATACCAGGGTAATGTGATTTGCCCTCCCCCCCTTACTATATTTTTGTTGTTGTCTTAGGTGGAGGAGAGATGTTCTAAGAGAAAAATGTGACTGTAAAGATGAGAAAGCGTTTCCAAATTTGTTTTTGGAAGTTTTATAGACAGTGCCAATGTGTATCAAAACTTTACTTTGGACAACTAGGAAATGTTGGTGGGAGACATTGTGTAGAATAAAGAGTCTGATGGAAGTGCTGCACATAGTACCCACATGTACCGCCCTCCACAGTGATATGTACTTCTTCCATATGAGCAGGAAACTTCTTGCATACAAACAGGAAAAAAATACCGCCCTTATTTTACCACACTATTCTGTGATTTCTAATCTTCATTTCATCTGCTTCTAATCAAATTGTGTCATCTTCATATTTCACTATGGAAACATATTTACACTTCCAGTTCTTGTTTGTTCTTTTATTCAGTTGTTGAGTATCTTTATTGCATTTGTAGTCCATCTCAGAACTTTGATGCAAAGGTTGGATGCAGGATTCATTGCTTTCATATAAAACAACAAATACACCTGCATGAATTTGACTGAAATCACAATCATTTGCATCTAAAACATTAGTTGAATGGGCACCTATCTTATATATTTTTCATGTGAATTAAAAACACACAACAATAGGAATATTAATACAATACTGAGTGCGCAGGTCAACGTTGCCAGGTTTTAAAGTGACAAACATCTTGTACTATTTGTTTCATCTGTTCAGAAGATAGTTGAGGAGATATCTTAGATTGCAAACTGCCCTAGGCAGTCACCTGTTTTGCTCCCCATTGATCCAGACCTAAAATATACATATCTACATAATATGCTGCTTTGCACATCATGCTAAGCCATAGTTTGTTTTAAATCATGGCTTACTCCTGCCGCTGTGGGCACTATGTGCAGCACAAGCAAGCCATAGTAAGATTTGTTGTGTGAAGCCAACGTATCTTCTAGACTTGTTATTGTCTTACCACTCATGGCTTCTGTGAATCATATAATTGTTGAGTTGGAAGGGACCATGAGGGTCATCTAGTCCAACCCCCTGCAATGCAGGAATTTTTTGCCCAACGTGGGGCTCAAACCCATGACCCTAAGATTAAGAGTCTTATGCTCTACTAACTGAGCTATCCCAGATCCATACAACACAACATGCCACAGAATGGCTTCTTTGTGCCATGTGTGGCACCTGCAAGGACATGGGAAAGCTGCAGTAGAGCTAGAAGGCATGTTCATTTGTTTTATTTATTTAATTTACAGATTTATAAACACTGTCCCAGCCTGACGCCATTGAACTGGTATTTTAAAAAAGGAAAGAAAAAAATACAAAGTTTAAGAGACTCCAAAAACAATTTTCAAAAGATTTCTACACTTGTACAATTAATATTGAATAAAACCACTAGGTCACACTTCAGGGGGTGCCTTGTTCAGTTAACTTAAAATAAACTGGCTTATATTGGTATGCAATCCAAATCAAAATCTCTATTATTCACATAACTGGGACTGCGTCTCATGCAGTTCTCTGTCTAAACCTCGTAGTGTCACTGTTAGCCAATCTAGATGCAGATCCACAGATATTTCCTATACTGTGGTACCTCAAAGCAACTGCACAGATAATGGAAACAGCAGAGCACAAAGGAAGGACAGTCTAGCTGAGAAGCTGAAAATACTACTGGTTTAAATACACTAAGAAAAAGCGAGATTATTCTATCTAATGGGTTTGTCTCTTGTTCTGCTGAGAAACCTGTTCAAAACAAGCTGAAAAAGTATTTTATCAGAAAACAGAATGGACAGAAGGCAGAAAGAGGATGGCAAGGCACTCAGAAGGCAAGTACTGCTTCTCTTATTTTTGCCTTTCTCCTGCTGGGCTGCGTCAGATCAGATTCATTATTCCATTCCTGAGGAGATGGCAAAGGGTTCAATTGTGGGGAATCTCGCCAAGGATTTGGGACTGAATGCCAGAGATCTAGGAAGGCGCAATCTGCATGCTGTCTCTGTGAATAAAATGCAGTATTTCAATATCAATGCAGAAAATGGAAACCTCTATGTAAATGACAGGATCGACAGAGAGGAAATATGTGAGAAAACTCCACTCTGCCTGGTTAATTTTGAGGTGGTGATTGAAAATCCCTTAAATGTTTTCCATATAACTGTGGAAATTCAGGATATTAATGACAATACTCCACATTTTTTGAAAATTAATATCAACTTAGAGATTGTGGAATCCACTTTGCCAGGCACCAGATTTCTCCTTGGGAAAGCTGAAGATCCTGACATAGGGATGAATTCGCTCCAGAATTACCAGCTGAGCTCTAATAAATATTTGACTTTGGATGTTAAGGAGACTTATGATGGAAATAAATTTGCAGATTTAGTGCTGCAGAAAGCACTAGATCGAGAGACCGAACAGACCCTTCACTTGATCCTCACAGCGTTGGATGGGGGTGAACCTAGAAAAACTGGGACTGCCCAGATATGGATTAATGTCACAGATGCCAATGACAACCCACCTGTTTTCACTCAAGAGGTGTACAAGGTCAGTTTGAGGGAAAGTGTTGCAGTTGGATCGCTTGTGCTCCAGGTTACAGCTTCTGATAATGATGAAGGTTCATACGCCCAAATCAGGTATCATTTTAGCAATATACCACAGAATGCCAACAAGAAATTCAGTCTAGATCCTTTGAATGGCTCAATCCTACTTATAGGGCTACTGGATTTTGAGGAAACCAAAGAATACACTTTGACAGTTGCAGCAAAAGATGGGGTGGGGATTATTGACACATTGTAAAGTTGAAATAAGAGTTATTGATGAGAATGACAATTACCCCGAGGTAACCCTGGTTTCCTTGTTTAGCCCAGTCTCTGAAGATTCTCTGCCTGGTACCTTAATAGCTCTGATCAATTTGAATGACAAAGATAGTGGAGATAATGGAAAGGTCACTTGCTATTTACAGGATGATTTGCCCATTCAGAATTATTCCCTCATCTAACAATTACTACAAGCTCCTGACAGATAGTCCACTTGACAGAGAAATAGCTCTAGAGTACAATATCTCAGTAACAGCCTCTGACAATGGCACTCCCCCTCTCTCCTCACATAAATCTATCACACTTTTGATTGCTGATATCAATGATAATGCCCCTACCTTTCAGAAGCCATCCTACAACATCTATGTGCCAGAAAACAATCCTTCAGGTGCCTCCATTTTCACCATCAAAGCCTCTGATCCCGATATGGACCAGAACTCACGGATCACATACTCTATCCTCAACAGCAACATCGAAGAGCTTCCCATCTCCTCCTATATCTCCATTAATTCAGAGACCGGCACTATCTATGCCCAGAGATCCTTTGACTATGAACAGTTCAGAGAGTTCCATCTGCAAGTGAAGGCCCAAGATGGGGGTTCTCCCCCTCTCAGCAGCAATGTGAGCGTCAGGGTGTTTGTTCTTGACAGGAATGATAACAGCCCTCGTATCCTGTCCCCCTCACAAGAAGCCAAGGGCTCAGCCTTGTTTGAGATGGTGCCTCGTTCGGCCGAGGCAGATTATCTTGTCACCAAGGTGGTGGCCGTGGATGCAGATTCTGGACACAACGCCTGGCTCTCCTACCACCTGACTCAGGCCACTGAGCCGGCACTCTTCACGGTTGGTTCTCATACTGGAGAGATCAGGACAGCCAGGGCCTTTGTGGAGAGAGACGCTGTGAAACAGAGACTGGTCATTATGGTGAAGGATAACGGGCAGCCGTCTCTCTCAGCCACCATGACTCTGAACCTGGTGTTTGCTGAGAACTTTCAGGAGGCCCTTCCGGAAATGAAGAGCCAAACCAGCAGCTCGGAGTATCAGTCTGACCTGCAGTTCTACTTGGTGCTGGCCTTAGCTGTGATCTCCTTCTTGTTCCTCTTGACCGTGATTCTGGCCGTTACAATGAAGCTCCGTCAGTCAGGGCATCCCAGGTTCCTACAGTGCTTTGGTCCTGTTCCCCATTCCAAGAATGGTGCCATCTTCCCACCTAACTTTGAAGATGGGACTTTGCCCTATTCCTACCAGCTGTGTCTGTCTTCTGAGACCAGGAAGAACGAGTTTGCCTTCCTGACACCCAGTGTTCAGATGGTAGACAATATTCTTAGCAGTGAGAAACCTGATGAGCCTTTTACAGGCAACAGTGGAAACAATTTTCATTCTGAAAAGGCTAAGGATGAAGAGGTAAGCTTTATGGTTAGGAATTATTTGTATTGCACCTTTGATACTCTTCCCCGCATTTCTGCAGAATTTTTTATTCTATTTTAGTAGTTATGGAAAATTAGGAGTGAGCCATGATGTTGCCAAGTTTGCTAATCCCAAATAGTTCAGAGTGGTTAAAACAAGATGGGGACTTTGCCCTATTCCTACCAGCTGTGTCTGTCTTCTGAGACCAGGAAGAATGAGTTTGCCTTCCTGACACCCAGTGTCCAGATGGCAGACAATATTCTTAGTGGTGAGAAATCTGATGTTCCTTTCACAGGGAGAAGTGAAAGCAATTTGCATTTGGACAAAGTTAATAATGACAAGGTAAATTTTCTTTTCAAAAATTATTTGTGCTGTATTTTCAATAATTTTTAACCATAACTATAATGGAAATATTGTTTACATGTAGCTTACTCTAGCTGCTATATACCTTTCAGCAATTGGCAATTAAGAGGTTGTAGAATATTCTTTATTTTAGGTTGCTCTCAGAAAGTGCAACACTTGTCATTGATTTTAATCTAAGATTATTTTGTAGCCAAGTTTGCTATACCAACAACTTTTTTCTTTTTATTTTTGTAGAGTGAAGCTTATATTAGTTAACAAAAATGTGCAAAATGTGTCACATGTTAGGGCTATAGTGGTAAATTATAATTTGGTCAAATCTCGGCCAAATCAAGCAAGCAAGGACCAGAGTCAGAAGGTCTCCCAGATGGGCTGCAGATAAAGGAACAAGAGCTAAGGATGGAAGACAAGTTATATGTTCATGGACAGGCTGGTGGGCAGATATATCTGTTAGGCTAAGCCTGACCTTATTCTCATTTTCACTGAAGGACTGCAGGTCAAGAAACCTGCAGCATTCTTAGTAGCTGGAAATACGTTACTAATCCATGTGCGTCTAGCAAGTCTACCTAAATACTTATGGTAAGAAGTTGACAGAATAACATAGCTCAGGTTTCTTAAATTCACTCACCACTAGCACTTCATAAATGTTGCAGTAAGCAGATACATATGCCAAAGTAACTAGGTACATAGTCCCTAAAGGTCACTGACTGACAAAAAAGATATGGGGAACATTGGCAAGAAGCCGTCAATAAACACATATCTGTAAGTGTGTGTCAAACAGATACTCTACATGCAAATCAACCAGATTTAACTGAATGTCATACATTGTAGCAAATCAAAGATTCATGCTGTGTAACATCTGGAATAGTTCTGAAAAGTACAGGTGTCTTCCTCCACTTACAGAGGTGTTATGTTCTTGGCCCCTGCAGGCATGACTGAAATTGCGTAAAGTGTCCCCCCCTCCAAACACCCTCTTTGGTGCTCTACTGTATCCAAAAGTATCCACAACTAGAATTGAAGTTATGGGGCTGGCAGGAGGCTGCAGGATGCATGGGAAAGCGGCAGCTGCTGCGCTACCCCACACATCAGCTGTTAGGCAAGGAAGCTGAGCAGCCTAAACAAAGCCTTTCTGTGCCTCTAGTCTCTTCTGGGCTTCCTCTGCCCTCATTGCCGTCCTCTTTGGGCTCCAGGGAGGGTTTTCTTGCAAGCCACGTGGACACTTCAGCTCTCTTCTGGCATTTCCAGGTTTGAATTGAATTATTTAATTGTTTCCCAAAACCACACATATACATGGTTGAGTGCAGGTCGATATTACGTAAATGGCGGGGGGGGGAGCCTGTATACAAAACTGAAATATTAATATTCTTATTCTACAGTAGAATCATATCGCAAGTATTTAAAATGCATACCTCTGCCATACTCAAGGAAGCTTTATTGAAGACATTATATTTATTTAAATGAAAAAAGTTGTTAGAAGTCCTGGAAGCCTTTTGTAACATTATCTCAAGTTTCTCACAATAAGCAGGTAGATGGAGATGTGATGACTTCTCCTCTAAGTTATTGATACTCTAAAGTATCAATACTGTGGGTTGTAATGACAAAATATAAAAAATACATTCTGGGTTGTTGCTTTTGCAAAATCACAAAAGACATTATGGGTTTCGCTTGCCACCCACATATACAAGAAAGCGGCAAGAAATCCCTTATATGTTATTTGCTGAAGACATAAGACACCTCTTGCAGTTCCTCATCTGAGACTCAGAGTGCCGCTGTTGACCAACATAGTTCTTACACTGGAGCTGAAAATCCAGTGAACTGCTGCTTCTGCAATGTGATTGTTCAGTCACACAGAGCTGGGAAACAGCAGAGCACAGGGACTTCCAAAGTGTTTTGCTGTGAAACAAAAACCACTGCAAAATACAGAAATTCAACAGCAACCAGTAGCCTTGTTTATCATCCCTCATTGAGTTCTTCTGCATCCTAATGGGAATGTGAAACTCCTCATCAGCTCAACGGATTACAGAAAACAAGGATAAAGCTCATATCCCTGCAAGAGGAATGGAAGATAGGCAGAAGGAAAACAGCAGATCAGTAAGAAGGCAAGTACCTCTCCTCTTACTATTCTCTCTGTATGGTCAGATTGCCTCAGAGCACATTCATTATTCCATCCCTGAAGAAATGGAAAAGGGATCCATTGTGGGAAACCTGGCCAAAGACCTGAGATTGAATAACAGAGAAATAGGAAATGGCAATCTGCATATCCTTTCCCTTGGTAAAAAGCAATATTTCACTCTCAGTGCAGAAAATGGGAATTTGTATGTAAGGGAAAGGATTGATAGAGAGGAATTATGTGGGCAAACTGCAATCTGCTCCATCAATTTTGAAGTGGTGGTTGAGAGTCCTATGAATATTTTTCATGTAACTGTAGAGATCCAAGACATTAATGATCATGCACCACGTTTTGTAAATGGGGATATCAAGCTGGAGATAAGTGAATCCTCTTTAAAAGGCACCACGTTTCTCCTTGGACAAGCTGAAGATCCTGATCTTGGGGTGAATTCTCTTCAGAATTACAACCTTAGCACAAATCAGTATTTTATTCTGGAAGTGAGAGAAAGAAAGGATGGAAAGAAATATGCAGTATTAGTATTGAATAAACAGTTGGATCGGGAAAGTGAAGGCAGTTTCCAATTAATCCTTACGGCGCTGGATGGAGGGAAGCCTGCCAAAACTGGAACAGCCAAAATATGGATCACCGTCATTGATGCAAATGACAACCCACCAGTCTTCACTCAAAAAGTATACACAGTCAAGCTGAAAGAAAATGCCCCCAAAGGGTCTTCAGTGGTCCAGGTGAAAGCCACAGATAGAGATAAAGGTTCTTACGCTCAAATCAGCTATAATTTTAGTAACATCCCTGAAATTGCTCACCAGAAATTCTACTTGGATCCACAAGAAGGGACAATAACACTTAAAGAGGCTCTGGACTTTGAGGAAATAGAAGAATATGCAATGGCAGTGGAAGCAAGAGATGGGGGAGGATTAGTCGCTCAATGCAATGTTGAAATTTCACTCCTAGATGAGAATGACAATGCCCCAGAAGTGATTCTTGCCTCTTTATCCAGCCCAATCCCTGAAGACTCTGCAGTAGGAACCCTGGTAGCCCTTATCAATGTAAATGATAGAGACTCTGGAGATAATGGGAAGATTACTTGTGACATACAACACACTTTGCCATTCAAAATGGTATCAGCCTCCAATAATTATTATAAGCTTCTCACAGATGCCCCTTTGGACAGAGAAAGAACTCCAGAGTACAATATCACAGTAACAGCCACAGACAAAGGCAACCCGCCTCTTTCCACATACAAAACCATCACACTGCAGATCTCTGACATCAATGACAACTGCCCTGCCTTTGAGAAACCCTATTATACTGCCTATGTCCCAGAGAACAATCCTTCAGGCTCCTCCATTTTCAGGGTCAAAGCCTCCGACCCAGATGTGGACCAGAATGCTCAAATCACATACTCCATTCGCAACAGCATCACTGAGGGGCTGCCTCTCTCATCCTTCCTCTCCATAAATTCTGAGACTGGCACTATCTATGCTCAGCGCTCCTTTGACTATGAGCAAGTCAGGGAGTTTCAAGTGGAGGTGAGGGCCGAAGATGGAGGCTCCCCCCGCCTCAGCAGCAATGCCACCGTGAGAGTGTGTATTCTGGACCAGAATGACCAAAGCCCTCAGATTCTTTACCCTTCTCAAGGAGTAGAGGGCTCCTCCTTGTTTGAGATGGTGCCTCGTTCAGCAGAGGAGGGGTATTTGGTGACAAAGGTGGTGGCTGTGGATGCTGACTCTGGACACAACGCTTGGCTCTCCTACTATCTGCTCCAGGCAACAGAACCTGGGCTGTTCTCTATTGGTTCCCATACTGGGGAGATCAGGACCTCACGGGCTTTTCTGGAAAGAGATGCTGTGAAGCAGAAGCTCATAATCTTAGTCAAGGATAATGGGCAGCCACCACTATCTGCTACTGTGAGTCTCAACCTGGTGTTTGCTGAGAACTTCCAGGAGGCACTTCCGGAAATTAGCCACCAGCCCAGTGACTCCGAGTATCAATCGGATCTGCAGTTCTTCTTGGTGCTTGGCCTTAGCTTTGATCTCCTTCTTATTCCTCCTGACAGTGATTCTGGCCATTCTCATGAAGATTCGGCGATCAGGGAACCCCAAATTCCTGCAGTGTTTTGCTCCTGTTCCCCATTCAAACAACACGGTCATTTTCCCACCAAACTATGAAGAAGGAACATTGCCGTATTCCTATCAGCTGTGCTTATCTTCTGAGTCCAGGGTACAGGAGTTCACCTTTCCAACACCCAATCTTCAAACTGCAGATAAGTCTAATGTGACTTTGACTGCCAATGGAGGCAATATCCTAAATTCTGAGATGGATAATGCTGATATGGTGAGTTTATTTTCAGCGGTACATGGTTAACATTTTAAGCATTCTCTTTATGTCTATAGGCAACTAGTATATTTTAAGCTTATTTATCTTAGTTTTTTCATATAAACATTCAGTTCACATGAAGATGGGGCAGCTACTCCCTCTGCTTGAACCTCACAGGTGTACTTGAAGCTGAATGTCTGTACAGAACATGCTGTACAGGTGTTCTCAAATAGGCCTTTTCTTTGTTATCAGAAATCTTGCAAATGGAAGGGTCTATTGGTATGTGTACAGGCCTATTTGTAGATGTTCAGATCTTCAACTGAATTTGTGGAGATGAGTATGATCTTTCTTCATCCCCTCAACACATTCATTGGATGTGGCTGTGGCATAAAGAAAATGCTATGTATGCCATCTAACCTTTATCTAATTTATCATTACTTCATTTTACTGATGAACTTCTGTTCTTCCACTTCATACCTTTAGTGAAAAATGTGTTTGATAGAGATAAGGAGTGGGATGAGAGAGGGGGAGGAATGGGAGGGAGAGAGAGAGACAGACAGAGAGAGAGATGTACCTTATACCATCAGAAAGCTGAATATTTTGTTCTGCTTTAGGGCAGTGAAAATTAGAGGGAAGGGTCCCAACTACATGGCTTAATTTTAGAATAAAATGTTTCAGGAAATACCTAATATGATTCACCAAAGGTAGAACCTGCTTTAATAGTACTTTTATGTTTCTAAAGGTAAAGGGACCCCTGACCATTAGGTCCAGTCGCGGATGACTCGGGGATTGCGGCGCTCATCTCACTTTATTAGCCGAGGGAGCTGACGTACAGCTTCCAGGTCATGTGGCCAGCGTGACTAAGCTGCTTCTGGCAAACCAGAGCAGCGCACGGAAACACCATTTACCTTCTCACCTATTTATCTACTTGCACTTTGATGTGCGTTCGAACTGCTAGGTTAGCAGGAGCAGGAACCGAACAACGGGAGCTCACCCCGTCGTGGGGATTCAAACCGCCGCCCTTCTAGCATCACTACTGCTTTTAAACTTTTAACTAAATCTAGTAAAGGTAAAGGGACCCCTGACCATTAGGTTCAGTCGTGACCGACTCTGGGGTTGTGGCGCTCATCTCGCTTTACTGGCTGAGGGAGCAGGCGTACAGCTTCCGGGTCATGTGGCCAGCATGACTAAACCGCTTCTGGCGAAACCAGAGCAGCGCACGGAAACGCCGTTTACCTTCCCACAGGAGTGGTACCTATTTATCTACTTACACTTTGACGTGCATTTGAACTGCTAGGTTGGCAGGAGCTGGGACCGAGCAACGGGAGCTCACCCCGTCGCGGGGATTCGAACAGCCGACCTTCTGATCGGCAAGTCCTAGGCTCTGTGGTTTAACCCACAGCGCCACCCATGTCCCTTAACTAAATCTAGAAGATAACAATTAGCCATTGCAGTAAAGCAGAGGCAGTCTATCACTCACTTGGGTCTCCTCCAAGGAAAGACACCCCCACTTCCTTTGAAGCAATAGGTTCTCCTGCTACCTTCTCAAAATCCACCTTACTGCAAACTGGGCCCTCAGAAACCTGGTTTTATTCCTTTCTGGACAAAAGCTTCACAGCAAATTCCAAAATTGATTGCATGTAGGAAGGTGACATCTCTGAACAGCCTTTCCTTTCCTATACCAAGTGTAGCTCTGCACATAGCTGTCAACCTTCCCTTTTTGTGTGGGAAATTCCCTTATTCCAGCGCCGTTTCCCACTGCTTCCCGCTGCTATCCCGGATTGTTAGGTATCCTGTAGACTGTCCCCTGGGACAGGAGAGGCTGCTGATCCCTTATTTTCGGGGCTGCTGGTCCCTTATTTTCAAATCTGAAAGTTGACAGCTATAGCTCTGCAGTTCATAGCAGGATGGGGGCAGGTCCAGGTTTTTCCTTTGTGGAGAGCAGTAGTCACTCTTCAGTTAACATGTTTAAAGTTAGTCTCTTGAGTAATGGACCCATATCCTCAGGAGCACCCTACTGAAATGTTGGCTTGATGGCATTGCATTGCCCAAGCTGTGAGCTGTGCAAAATGACTTGAGGTGTCCTATTTCCATCAGGAAGGCTTCCAGGAGCTTCCTTGCTTTTGTTGCAAAGTGAACCACACTGAAGCAATTTTTTAAAAATCATAGTCAACATAGGTGTGTCTCCCAGGCTCTTGAAGTAGCAGCCTGCAAACAAGCTCGCTGCCACCTAGTACAGCCTTTTCCGGCATAAGGAGAGCAGTAGATAAATGAAATGTTTGAGTACCATTGAACACCGGAAAAAAGAAGAAAAAGAAAACATTTGAATTTTTGCAGTTGTTTCATTGGAACAAATAATTTGACTTGGTGTGGAAAGTCATTTCTCGGTAGTTATGCCCGCCCTGTGGAATGCCCTCCCATCAAACAAATAAACAACTTTTTGAAGACATCTGAATGTAGCCCTGTATAGGGAAGGTTTTAATGTTTGATATCTTACTGTGTTTTAATTTGTTAGAAGTCACCCAGAGTGGCTGGGGCAACCCAGTCAAATGGGTGGAGTAATAATAATAATAATAATAATAATAATAATAATAATAATCTACTTTCTTCTTCTTCTTCTTTGGCAATCACTTGTAGCCGAGTTAGATTGTCTTCCAAAACAGGGTTTTAGCAGTGAGTCCATAAGTCACTGTGGAGGCCAATTCTGGATCCACACATCCTTCCACAGTGGGGACACAGGTTTCTGGGCGGGTGTTGATCATGGTGAGGGTTTGCCAAGCATGCCTTCCTCTTAGCTCATTTCTCCTTTGCGTCCTGAGTTCGAGTGTCTTCAAAGCCCATGACACCTTTGGTCAAGGCTGTTCTCCATTGGAGCACTCGCAGGCCAGTGTTTCCTAGTTGTCAGTGTTTATACTACATTTTTAAAGATTTACCTTGAGAGAGTCTTTAAACCTCTTTTGTTGAAATAATAATCATTATTATATTTTCAAAATAAAAAAGTGGGATAATAATGCTTGCATTCTGATTTCTACTCTGCAAGCTCAGGATTTTGTTTGGGTGCCAATTCTTTTTGGACTAACTTGGGTGCCAATTCTTTACACTAAACTAATAGCAATATCACAGTCATTATTTTAGTCCATGAAAACTTGTGCCACATTTGCTTTAAGACCACAAGACAATTCTGTTTTTATATTGAAAGTTGTTAACATGGATAAAAGGATGTTGACATGCAGATGTAATTTGACAACATAAACGGTGGAGGACCAAAGACAACTCTCCTGGATGCTTCCAATTTGTGGTTGTCCTGGACACTCCAAAATATGAACACACCCAGGTTGCTTTTCAATTATAAGTTGAATGAGAAAGAATCCCTTGCAGTTCTCTGTCTGAGCCTCAGGATGTCACCGTCAGCCAGTGTAGAAGCCACAGAGAGTATGCAGGAGACCCCCAGATAGTTTCCTAGAAAGGGATTGTTTCACCATTTCTGTACAGTAACAGCAGATCACAACAACCAAGCCATCTTGCTGGAAAGGTCAGTAAAAATTTAAGAAGGAACTGATTTACCTAGGCAGAAAACCAGCTTACTCTTTGTTGTGGAGATTCCTTGTGATCAGATGACAATTTGATCATTACAAGCTGAAAAAAGGAGACAGCTGTTTCTCAGGGATCTGTATGGATAGAAGAAACAAAAACAATGGAATGGCACTCAGAAGGCAAGTACTGCTTCTCTTATTTTTGCCTTTCTCCTGCTGGGCTGCCTCAGAGCAGATTCGTTATTCTATCCTTGAGGAGAAGCCAAAGGGTTCGGTTGTGGGGAATCTTGCTGAGGATTTGGGACTGAATGCCAGAGATATAGGAAGGCGCAATCTGCATGCTGTCTCTGTGAACAAAATGCAGTATTTCAGTATCAATGCAGAAAATGGAAATCTCTATGTAAATGACAGGATTGACAGAGAGGAAATATGTGGCACAACTCCACTCTGTCTTGTTAATTTTGAGGTGGTAATGGAAAATCCCCTTAATATTTTTCATGTGACTATTACAATTCAAGATATAAATGACAATGCGCCATTCTTTCTCAGTGGCAATATCAACTTAGAAACAAGTGAATTAACTTTGTTAGGAACACGGTTTTTCCTTGGGAAAGCTGAAGATCCTGACATTGGGATGAATTCTCTCCAGAATTACCACCTTAGCTCAAATCAGTATTTTACTCTGGATGTTAAAGAGACTCATGATGGAAATAAATTTGCAGATTTAGTGCTGCAGAAAGCACTAGATCGAGAGACTGAACAGACACTTCACTTGATTCTCACAGCGTTGGATGGGGGTGAACCTAGAAAAACTGGGACTGCCCAGATATGGATTAATGTTACTGATGCCAATGACAACCCCCCAGTTTTCACACAAGAGGTTTACAAGGTCAGTTTGAGGGAAAGTGTTGCAGTTGGATCGCTTGTGCTCCAGGTTACAGCTTCTGATAATGATGAAGGTTCATACGCCCAAATCAGGTATTATTTTAGTAATATACCACAGAATGCCAACAAGAAATTCAGTCTAGATCCTTTGAATGGCTCAATCCTACTTATAGGGTTATTGGACTTTGAGGATATTAGTGAATATACTATATCAGTAGCAGCAAAAGATGGTGGTGGATTAGTGACACATTGCAAAGTTGAAATAAGCGTTCGTGATGAGAATGATAATGCCCCAGAGGTTACTTTAGCCTCCATCTTTAGCCCAGTTCCGGAAGATTCTATGTCAGGAACAGTCATTGCTCTGATCAATGTAAATGACAGAGATAGTGGAGATAATGGAAAAGTTACTTGCTACTTACAAGATGATTTACCCTTCAAAATTCTTCCCTCGTCTAACAATTACTTCAAGCTCCAGACAGACAGTCTCCTGAACAGAGAAAGAACTCCTTCATATAATCTTACAATCACAGCAATTGATAAAGGAACTCCA